AGCAAACCAGACTGTTCGCGGAACATTTCCTATGAACGTTCGAGGGCTGCCTTCAGCTTGCGAGACTTGGCCGCAAGAGCCGCCTTCTTCGACTCCAGCTCTCGAACGCGGTCCGTGGAATCTGATCCTTCCCCCGCGAGGACCACCGCCATCTCGGCCATCTTTACCACACCAACCATACTAGCAGCAAGGTGTTTCCTCCGACCTTCCTGGTCAAGCCGCCTGATGATGTCGGCCTTATTGTCGGACACGGTCAGGGGAAACCCCTCAAAGAAGTCTTTCTCCACGAAGCATGGTGGTAGGTCGAAAGCTCGGGCAGAGGCACCTCCATCAGTCACTTCCACCCCATCTTTTGGTCGACTCCGCTTCCTGGCGACCAATGCAGTTTGTCGTTCGGCGTCAGGAGAACCTGAGGACCCACTAGATCCTTCCCTGCCCGAATCAGCAGGCAGGCCCATCCGTGTGGCCTGTTGCAGCCTCACCAATCTTTTATTGATTCTCCTGTCCTGGGTCAACTTCAGCAATCTTTCACGACGCTCCGCCATGTGACCTACAAGGGAAGCGAACCGAGGTTAGCTACGTACATTAGAAGCAATTAAAAAGGAATAACAATAAGAGCAAAGCAAGAAACCTAAGAGATCTACGACCTGCCCGTAAGATTGGCACTTGACGAGCGCCTTGGTATTAATCGGACGCGCCTCGAATGTCGGGTAGCCGTCCTCGTCAAGAATATCGTCCCCTTCCCTAGTGACCCACCGAGCAGGAAAGAAGTCATCAATAAACTTGTTCAGGACGTCATAGGCTTCCTCGTCCTCAACACTCATACCCCCAGCAGGAGTATGGTAGTGCCCAGGACCATGGTCATAATGATCTGAGCACCAATAAAGGGAAAATCTAGAGATTCGCCCGACCTCGAGATTACCATCGGCGTCTAGACATGGCTCCCTATCCTCGTCTACCACAATGGCCGCTTCGAACAACGAATCTAAGGCCGTCTGGGTGGACGGATGCAATATATACCACTTGTCTTTAAAATATCGCACGGAGTCCATGTACATCCTAAACAGTCTCTTCGACTTCTTAAGAGACACCCAACTGTGTTTCCCTCCTCAGGACTGCCGTTGTAAGTGGAAAACCCTGAAGAACAGGGGAATCGTTGCCCCAATCCTCAAGAAGTGACAAGTGAGCTCGAATGCCTGGAGAAAGGCAATCGCATTAGGGTGGAGTTGAGAGGGGGCCAGGCTCAGATGGTTGAATACCCTGGCCTAGAAGTCGTTGAAGGGCAACCGAAGCCCGAGATCTCCAAAGACGATCTCCTACATATGGAATGTGTCTTGCGTGAACTCCGAACAGATGCGAGCATCCCTCGAAGGCCTCATTATCTTAAAGTTCCTTTGAAATCTCTCTTGACCACCGCCATACTTGATGACGGTATAAGCTTGTCTGCTACGAAGGCTGTAGACCGAAGTTATTCCCCGGGGCTCAGCACCAACCCAATCCAATGTGGGATCGTCTACGGTGTCGACCAAGGTGATGATTTCTTCCGCTGTACTTGTCTCCTCGACGTTATCGCGCCCCGAGGACTCCGGTATGTCGGCCATTTACCTGCAAAGTACAGGAAACCGGTGAATTCGACAACAAAGCCGCTTGCCCGCCATGAAGAGGGGGAGAATTAAAACAATACCCAGATCGAGTCTACGACCATTCGCACGAGAGACGAAAAACAAGTGGATCTCAACCAAACAACGACCCCCCAACGACAGACGCACATCAATCATGAACGACACGAGCACAACATGAGTGCCCCGGGCGAAGCACGAATCCCGCGACCAAGTTCAAAATTTTGTTGGCCCGATACAAGAATATTATGGGGAAACTAGCCTACATACTAACAAAAGGATGAATCTCCCGACCAAGTTCATGAACCGACCAACCAAAACGCATGAATATCACGGGCACGATCAGGAACCATATGCCTAATCTTATGAATATCCCAGGCACAATCATGAGTCAGGCACCTAGTGCGCTTAAATCTATCGGGCATAACCCCCAGGCACAAGTTTCTACTACTAAAACATCGTCAAAACTATCTACAACACGAGAAATCAAAGAGAAAGGACACTTACTTGGAAGAAAATTTGAATAGCGACGGTGGTGGAAGTAATCAGGCGGCGAGCAGCGCGGCAGTCTCAGCGACGTTATGAAAACTTACGGAAGTAAAAACAGAGAAAAGTGTGAGAAGCGTAAAAAGGTAAAACGGACTATGGGCATTGGAGCCCTATTTATAGAGATGACGTAGAATACGAAACGTCGCACCGAGAAACCACGAACCGCACCCGTCCTCAACGCCTACTTACGTAGACAATGATGGCCCTACTCCCTAGGTCGGCTTTGTGGTTCACAAGAGTCCCACCACGTGTCTAACTGATGCATCATCGCCTCCCCGCAAAAATTCCTCGAACGATCCTCGATCGCTGCATGGGGAAAATCACAAACCAGGCGATGCATGTTCTCCCCGGTTGGAAGCCCATGCGTCGCGCAAGAGAACCTCGCGGAATAACGAGTTTGAGTCAAGTCACAACTCCCGTACTAGGAGCAGCGACTTAGGGGGCTCCTGTTTTGGACTGGGTCTGCCTGTGGCTCAATTACCAGCGATGCCCAATCTAAGCTTTACAACATACCATGCTGAGTATTAGAATCCCCGACACGCCTCGATCATGGGTGTCGTCGAACACAACTTGTGCCCGCCGGTGACCGTGAAGAGAGTCCCCGACAAGGGACATCCCAGGCGAGGACGTCTCAATCCAGGTCTTGCTCGAGCATACTCCTCGTAGGGCAGACTAAACCTCCGAATATTTCAGAGTCCTCGGGGTCCCGAGAAGACCGCATCTTCACCTCCCTATTTCTGCGGAGAGCATCACCCAGGTAGGGGACCACGTGCAGGTCCCCACTACTCCACGTGGGACCTGACAGTCCCTTTGTTGGGCTTGTTTGGTCAGCCCAATAAAGGGACCTTGGCCCAGCGCTGGGGGCTATAAATACCCTTTATTTCAAGAGGGTCAGGTATTCATTCATTCACGCCTATATACAATTCGTCTGCTCATTCTGTCTCTCACTTTATCATCAGAGTGTCTTGCAGGTACCCCCACCTCCTTCAAATTTAATTTGAATCAGCTGTGACGGTCCAACTCTGATCAGGTACGATCAGATATGTTTGTAACAGACGCATTTAAAAATTATATAATCAAAACTAAAAGAATTGTTTACTATAAATTGCTAAATTTAAACAGCTTTTTTCTCTAAGCATTATTTACATTAAAAGAAATTGTTGGTTACTTATATATAAGTTGAACTATGACAGATTGAATCAATCCATTTCTCCCCACATTTTTTCTCCAAAAATATGCTTTAATTAATCATTTGATATAAGCACAGTTAACCTATTTGATGTTCTGTTCCGTTTTTTAAACATTAGTTTATTAACTTAAATAATAACATTGTACCCAACTAATGTCTTAGTTAACTAATTATCCCTTCCCCACTTGCCCCTTACGTTAAACAATAATCCGAATGAGGATTTTATCACTTAGATGCCTGCTACTTGTTTTACCTCATCTAGAATAAGACAACTCCACCACATCCAAATAATCCCACTTCCTCAACCACATTTCCCCTAATCGGTACCATTGTATTGCTCTCTTTTATAACACATGGATAAAGTTTTTCCAAAAATATAAACTATTTTTTTCGTTAGTTTATGTAAGCTGAGTTCGGCATCTTATTTTGGTCAAAGTTCGTTATAAGTTTTTCAAATATTCCATGTTAATTATTAAATCTTAATTATGATTTAAGTGTGATAAACTAAATAAAAATTCGGTTTTATAATCATTTAATTATGATAATACGATATAAATTTATTTTTAATCAAGTGTGTCAAATTTTAGAATTTATACGGTAATTAGTCTTGTATTCTTTCAAAGACAATTTGATTTTAATTTAAAGCATTCTATAATTTAAAAGAAAACACCTATAAAAATATTTAGATATTACACATTAAAGATATTTTTCACATCGACATCAAAAGTTAAATTCAGTTAAATAAAATTAATTATCATTTTTTTAAATTGTTGATTTATAAATATAAATATATATATATTTTTTAATTTTACTAGACTAATGATGAAAATTCACATTTTAAAATAAGTAAGTGAGATATTGTAAACTGATGTTCAAAATTAGTTATTATCAATCAAGTTGATTTTTTTTATATAGATATTCTTTGCGTGTAATTATAAAGGCTAATTTTTCAAATTTTATAGAATCATAATAAATGATAAATTTTCTTTATGAAATTTAATATTTGATACATGTCTAAAATTGAATTCAAAACCAAAATATACAGTTAAGTTGGAAGAGATCCACTTCTAAATTATAGGTTCAAATAAATTAATTTAAAAGGATTAAAAAAATCACGTTGTTCTTTTATTAAGATTTTTTTTGCAACATTTTGAAAATAATTTACCCGAATTACATCATTAAGTTTTCATAATAAAAAAAATAATTTAAAAAGTGGTTTCCCACCTCCCATTGGAAGCACCATAAGCAAGCGTTATATATTTATACAGCTGTCGGAAGAGAGAGTACCCACCCACATTCAATTTCATTTTACCAGCTCCCTCTCTTTTAGAACGATTCTCGTTCCGTTTCTTCTCTTCTCTCCTTTTTTGGGTTTCCGTTTCCCCTTCCGTTACCGTTTCCTCTCTCTCTCAAGAATCAATTCAATCCTCCACCGTCCATTTAATTTCCTTCCGTTTCCATTTTTCCCAAAAATAAAAAACAAATAATTTTTTTGTTTTAAACTTTGACACACAGAAACAGAAACAACCCCCCCACCCCCCCGAGATTTCGCCCATAGAAAAATCTTCACCCATTTTTCTATTAAATTAAGAAAGAAAATTCTCTCCTTGTGTCGTTTGTTTTTTGGTTTGTGCTGAGAAAAAATGGCGACGAGTATTGGGATAATGGATAGCGCTTATTTTGTCGGTAGAAATGAGATTCTGACTTGGATCAATAATCGTCTTCAACTTAATCTCTCTCGCATTGAGGAGGTAATAACATCCTCATATCAATCAATTTTATTAGCACATTGTTTTTTCTTTGTTGCATTTTCTTACCCTATTTTCTAGGTTTATTTGTTATGTAAAAGGGGCACAGTAATGATTTGAAAACTGATCAGTTAATTAAAGTGTACTTTCTTCTTCATTCATTGTTAGGCTGCATCCGGTGCTGTGCAATGCCAGATGATGGACATGACGTATCCCGGGGTAGTGCCGATGCACAAGGTGGCAATGCAGATGATTGATTTTGCTTTGATTTTCATTTCTACTTTTTATGATGTTTCAATCTATTACAATGGGTTATAATTTTGGGGTTTATTTTAGGTTAACTTTGATGCCAAGACAGAGTATGATATGATTCAGAATTATAAAGTTCTACAGGAAGTGTTCAACAAGTTGAAAATTGAGAAGGTCTTTGTTTCTTCCAATGTATCATGAATAAGTACTTGCTCCATTAACTCTTGGATTATGGACAACTTATATATTACCTCTTGCATGATGAGAGTTTATTGAAAAATATTAGAGAGTGTCGAGGTAGCGCCTAAAACGGAGGGAAGGATTGACCGGAAACAATTGAAGGATTTTAGTTGGGAGGGTTTTTGAGGGTTTGGTTTTATTCATAATACCAAAAACTCTCTAATTTAGAGGAACTCAAAATTTGTATAAGGGTTTTTGAGGACTTACATAAATTTTTCAAATATATTTTATGTAATAGTATTATGAAAGTTAAAAATATAATAATGATTAACACTCTTTTATCATTCTATATAAAATTATTCTTTCAAAAAAATGTCAAATATTTTTCTATATTTTTTAAAAAAATTAGTTTTTGGAAGCCTTCTTCTCCCCTCGCCTCCAAATTCCCAAACAAAGCCTAAGAGATTCGATGGTGTGGAAGATTGGGGCGTGGTCTTGGTTTGATGCTCATTACTAGTTAATTTTTATTTTTGGGTCATGTTATCCTAGCTTCATTGATTGGATGTCTTTAATGCGGGTGGGAAAGTTATTTATGAATTAAAATTAATTTATCTCCGGGTTATAATTTTACTTGAGAATGAAAACTGGTATAAGAAAACACTTTTGCACAATCAATTGTTGATTCTTACATTTGTTGAGCTAATGTGGTTTCCGTGTCGCAGCATATTGAAGTTAGCAGGCTTATTAAAGGCCGACCTTTGGACAACCTGGAATTCCTTCAATGGCTGAAACGTTACTGTGATTCTATTAATGGCGGCATTATGAATGAGTATGTTACTTGCTATGTGTTCCCCCATATCCTTTAAACAACTTTGATTAGCATTGCTCATATTTTTTGTAAGTGATTACCGTTGCTATGATAATATTTGAAGGAATACTTTATTATCTCTGAGCAATTTTGATGTAATTGCTTTGAATGGTATATATCCAATGCATTTTTCTCTAATATTTAAATATGCAGTTCTATGCCATGCATATATCTTCTTATGCTGTATATCTGTTTTATCTCGGTCTTTTTTATTTTTCCTGTAGGAACTATAATCCTGTAGAGCGCAGGGTTAAGGGTGGAAAGGACCGAAATCATAAGGGTTTAAGGAGCTCAAAGTCACTTCAATCATATACTACGAATAATTCTGGTTCAGGCGATGCACTCAGTCTAAATAGAACCTCAGGTTGGCTTATTGGCTTCTTTGATCCTAAACCGGTATGTATTGTTTTCCCTTTTTGGTTAATGTACATTTGATTGCAGGGCCTAAGCATTCAAGGTCAAGTGGTGGATCAGATGGGGCAAATTCGTCAGCAGAGATTCAGGCATTGTCCAAGCAGGTATGACTTTGAAAATTAGGCTTGCTGCGACTGCTACCATTATCGAAATGTCCAACTGTAAACATAGTACATAGGTAAAGTAGAAGCTCATGGACACAGATATAATTCTGTAGTAAAGAAATTGGTAAATGCATGTATTATGTTGACCTTATTTTCCCGAAGGTAGCACTAGCATATACATGAATGTGGTTTCAGTGTGTCAATCATCTACCAGTCTATAGTTCTTGTATTCATATCCACGTTTTAAGTTTTTCACATGATAGTTTAATGAAAACATTATTACCTCTGTTTTGTTCATTGGTTACTTTATTCTTTGATTTTTGTTTTACAGGTTACTGATCTCAAACTCTCGATGGATCTCTTGGAAAAAGAAAGAGATTTTTACTTTTCAAAACTACGGGATATAGAAATTCTTTGTCAGGCATCAGAACTGGAGAATGAACCTGTAAGAATTCTGGCATGAGTTTAGATGATTTTTCTTTTCAGAACTGAGAGGTCTTTTCCTTTCTAATGTGCTTGTGGTCATGTGCTTCGGAGTTCATCAAATATATCACATTCTATATGGTTCTGCCCAAGACATGTATATTTTTAGTTGCTTTATATCAATCCTGGGTTAGGTTTAGTGTATATAGGATAAGGTGTAGTCTCCCTTGAGTTGTAATTTTGATATTACTTGAGTCAAAGAGAAATGACTCTTCGAATGGTTTGGATATAACCTTTGTTTTCTACTTCTACGTCCACATCCATGAATATACCGTGGATTGTATTCCTGCCTCATTTCTTGAAATTGTACATGTTTGCTTTGGTATGATCCTGCTTGATAATAATGTGTTATGCATTGGTGTTGAAAATGCTTACAACCTTAGTATTTACAAATATGTGAAGAATTCATGTCTAGATCTAGGTTAATAATCCAATTGGTTGGATCATTATCATTTGAATTCGAATTTTGGACACATGGGACTATTACATAGTACTCTATGCAGTAATTTAAAATAGTTTGAGTAAATCAATGCACATGTAATCTGTTATATTATGCAGATATCGGTAGCAATTAAGAAGATTTTGTATGCTGCTGATGCAAAAGAGTCGGCATTAGATGAAGCCCAGGCTTACATTAATGAAACACTGGATGCTGTTGAAGACGAACCTGAAGCTGAAACATGATCTTTCGTTCCTGACTGGTATTCAAAAGAGATTTTCAGGAACTTTGTTGAACGAGCTTTAGTGCCACCTGATGTGAGACTGGGAATCCTTCCCATCCAATGGCCAGAAAGTGTCATTTAAACACATAGATTTAACTGTTTTTTCATTGTTGTAAACTTGGATGGATAATCAGTGGATATTAGTTAATCTTTCAATAAACAGAAGTTCATTTCATGATCTATTTCTGAAAAAGTTTCTATTGAAAATAGCCAAATTGTGTTTAGATGTACCAGCTGGCTCTGTTGTTTCCAATTAGCAGCTGCTTCTGAGTAATTGCGTTCTTTGTGTGGATAGAGATGAAAAATCGGGCCAGACAAGGTTAAAAATATTCAAGGCATATGTTTGAACTCAAATATGTATTTAAAATACTTTGATACGTTATATTAACTTCTGTAATTTTCCTAAAGAAAAAAGTACTTCTGTAATTTTCCTAAAGAAAAAAGTACTTCTGTAATTTTCCTAAAGAAAAAAGTACTTCTGTAATTAAGTAAAATAATAATGTTTTTAAATAACTAACATTGTGATATGTCAGAATTTAAATTTCATTTTCATATTTATGATTGACTTTTTAGACAATACAACTTTGTTTAACATATCTTATTTCAATGATACATTTAAATAAATTTATTTTGAATTTGATTTTCTTTTCAGTAAGAATGGTTGAGATGGTGATAATAATGAATGGTTGAGATTTAATTTGCGTTTCTTGCTCTCATACTTTTTTAATAAGCATTTTCCTATACAAGCTTACATTAATGCAAATATTTTTAAGTACAAATAATATTATATAATAAAAGTAAAAAGGTTTTTGGACGACCCTCATAGATTCAAAAGGTTTTTGGATGTGTCTTATAATCTGATAATTTTTTCTAACTAAGGTTTTGGAGTAGATTTGATTGGAGGGAAACAAAAATATAGTTTAAAATAAAAGAGATGAACATAATTTTATAATAGCGGGTTAAATAAAATTATGAGGTAAATGTCTTTTTCGAGACTTCTTTGCGGTAAATGTTAGAATTATATCAATATCATCAAGTGACTTGAATATCTCCTGCTCAGTATAACATACCATCAAGTCATTGAACTAAACATCGTTGATCTTATTGTGAAATTTAGACTTGATAATCTTCATTGCTGAAAAAGCTCTTTCAACAGATGTTATCGACACCGGCAATATCAAAGCTAACTCAATAAATTTATAAACCAATGAAAATACCAAATGTTTCTCGGTTTGAACCATCTTCATAGCCAAACTTTGAACATCTTCACAAGTGTAAAATGAAGCACTTCTTCTCACTTAAAGAGCATAAGTATCAAGTTGATCCTTTATTGTTCCTCGGTCATCATCAGAAAGTCTGCATGATAAATATTAGCAAGACGAACAAGCTTATCAATATTAATTTTGGAGAAAGAGTTCTTGGGGTCAAGACATGAGAAGTAATTAAGGATAATGTTATTTTCTTCACTAAAGTGATGATCAATCTCCACACATATTTTGTCAATAGAAACATAAGAAATCTCTGCACGATAATGATGAAGATTAGTGATAGTCCTCCCTTCTACCCTTGAACGATTCTGAACTGGTATTTCGGCATCCATATTTGGAACCAAAATACCTTTAGCAACACAAAAATCTTGGACATCAGAAAATAAATTATCCCAACCACACTCTCTCGTTGTGACCAACCTAGCTTTGACATCATCAATTAATTTCATGGCAATCACAATATTAAGATATTTGAAAGCTCGTTTGTGATACCAAACAACTTTAATATTAACTTCAAAATGAAAGCAAATTTAAAGCTCTCCATTTTTTCTATCAAACCCGCTGCTTGAGATGGTCCACGTCCATCTTCATCAACCATACTAAGCACCTTTAACATGGAGGACCACATATGATCCAAACGAAGCAATGCAGTATGATGTGAACCCCATCTAGTATCCCCGGGTCTAGTGAGACTAGATGATTGGTGCAAGTCCTTTCCTCTAGATATCTCACCACTCTCAAGTTTATTTAAAATATATTGGTGTTGTACCTCCGTCAAAGCATCCCGCCTCTCACAAGATGCACTTGTTGTGGTCACAATCAAGGAGATATACTCACAGAAATCACGAATAGATGAGCAACTACTAGCAGCAGACACAACAACTAATTGCAAACGGTGAGCATAACAATGAACATAGAAATCATAAGTGCTTTCATCTAGAATTTTTCTTTGCAAACCATCAAATTAACCTCTCATATTTGAAGCTTCATCATACCCTTGCCCTCGTATCCTTGAAATTGATAACGTGTACTTATCAAGAATACCATAAATAACATTCTTTAATGACTCTAATGTAGTATCTTAGATATGATGTAGAGTAATAAATCGTTCCGCAACATTCCATTTGTCATTCAACAACCTAAAATAAATTCAATAAATTTACTTGATGGCATAAAAAATAGTAGGTAATGAAAATTTGAAAATATAACTACTAACCTCAACATCACTGCTATTTGCTCTTTGACGGATATATCATGTGACTCGTCAATAAGCACTGAGAATTATCTATCACCAAGTTCTTCCAAAACCACCTTGGTAACTTCATGTGCACAACACGTTACAAGCTCCTTTTGAATGTCACCAGAAGTCATTGTGCACTTTTTTCCACCACGGTCAAAAGCATCCCTCACTTGTTCATTCTAAAATTTTATCCAATCTATCATCTCTCTAAAACTATCCTTACTTAGAGAAGTAGAGGATTCATCATGGCCACGGAAAGCCATTCCTTGTGCTATGAGATATCTTGAACAATCTACAGAACAAGTCAAACAAATCTTATACAACTCTTATGAATCCTTGGTTGCTTTAGCAAACTTACTTGTCACACTTTGTGTTTGATTATTATAATCATCGTAGTGCTTGACACATGACTTATGTAAACTATTATGACTACCATCGTGATCTTTCAAGCCTTGAGATACATGCTTCCAATCTCTATATCTGCTTTTAGTGAAGACTTCAAAACCAAAATGCTCGGCCCTCCCGGGTTGCTTAAAGAGAAAGCAATGAAAAAAATAAGCTGCATTCTTCATCTCACTGTATTCTATCCATGTATAATTCTTATACCATGATTTACTAAATAATCTTTTAATACTCCCAAATGGAGTAAGAGGAAAACTTGGCAAATCTGGTTGCATTGGACCCTTCAATATATATACCCTCCTCACTTGGTCTTGAATATCTGGAGCATACTTATTAATTTGTTTCCTACGATCTGGATCACGCACAATCTCATTTGGATTAAACTCATTAACCACAACAGTGGTTCTAATTCGACTTTTGATTGCACAACATTCATATTCTCAATATTTTCTTTAACAACAAAAATCTCCTCATCTCTGAACAAAAGATAAAATAATTACAAAATTGTAGTTTCAAAATTTAAAAGAATAATAATCAAATAAAACAAATAAGAATAAATAATGCTCTTCAAACAAATAAAATAAAATTTAAAACTCTAATAAATAAATTAGTATTTGTAATTGTACATGGTTAATCAAACAACCTAAACTCTAATAATAAATAAATAAATTAGTACATGATTAATCAAACAACCTAAACTCTAATCAATAAAATAGAATCAAACATGAAATTAAACAAGTATAATATATAGACTTATTCCTACAAGTTTCATTTGAAAAATAGCAACTAACATAATTACTAATTGATTTGTAATTGTAAATATGTCAATTCAATTTTGTACTAGTTTGCTGGCTCAAATTAAACTTTTTACATTGAACATTTGTCAACTTTCCAGTGAAATAAAAATACAAAAAGAGAAAAATTATATATGTGCTTATCTAATTCTTTACCAGCATATTATTAGTAATCTCTAGATCCTTATTTCTTGTTGTGACAAATATATCAAATAGATTAACAGACCAAATCAAACACATATTTGTATTATATAAAAAAAGAAACACAGTACACATCTGCTATTTAATAATCAAGTTAGAGTTTTATATCATCTATTATAGGAATGGTACTGCAAGAGAAGTTGGCGACGGTAGATTGAACAGAGAAGGAAAGAGAACGGTGACGACTACTATTCAATATTCCTTTCCTTCTTTAGGTTTTTTCAATTCTAGGTTCCACTATTTTTTCTTTTTCTTTTTCTTTTAATTTTATTTATTAAAAAAAACATGAATAAAAAAAATTTGAACCGGGCCGAGCCTGAGCATTTGCTCAAGCTGACCGTATGGTAGAACCGCCCATGTCGTGGAATGATTGAGAGTAAATTATATATTGTAACAATTTTCACATAATATTATTATTTAATTGTCATTTAGCAACGACCGTGATTTTTTCTCTAGTTTTAGAGTTTCCACGTTATATTCTTATGTTATTGTGTTTTTTATTCTTATTTTTTTCTCTATACTTTATGTTTTTCTCAATAATATATTATAACAACTCAAATGATAAAATATTGTATAAACATTTGATATAATGTGACACACTCAAATCTACCGTTTCAATTTTCCTGTATTTAGTGCGTAAGGTTGGTCACTATCTATTTAAATATAAATTTAAAATAGTGATGATGACAACCTAACTACTATCTTAGTGATAACTCTAAGTATAAATTTTAATTATATTTTTATTAATTTATCTCTATATTAAAAAAATAATAATAATAAATATAATATTTAATTATGATTATTATAAATAATAATAATAATAATAATAATAATAATAATAATAATAATAGTAATAATATAATATTCAACCACCACTATTAATAAAAATAATGTAATATCTAGCTAATAATAATAAAACAAAATAATAATAATAATAATAATAATAATAATAATAATAATAATAATAATAATAATAATAATATTATATCTAGCTATCACAATTATAAATAATAATAATAATAATAATAATAATAATAATAATAATTATTATATATCT